GAAACCATAAGATTCATATATATATATATATATATATATATATATATATATATATGAAGCTAAGTCCCACATTGTTGGGTTGAGGAATTATGGACTTGACTAATTTTTTCCTCGAGAGTTAGCTTTTGGGTTTGAGTTAGACTAAAGATTTATTTCTTTACATTGATACCACAAGATCTAGAGTTAGTTTCTGGAGTTGAGTTATTCGGTGCAAGATTTATTTCTTTAGATACGATAAGATTCATTATTTCTCTCTTTACAAAATCATCACCTGTGCGTGACCTGTACAAGTACCTCCTCAAAACATTAATGTAACAGATATGTGTCCTTTTCAGGATTAATGAGCCTTGTTGAATTGCTCATACATTATTTTTTTGCACCTTACATGTTGTTAGTCGGCCTTTAATGTAACAGAGTCCGCACTCTTAATTGTCTGTTGCAGTCAGAGGTGTATCTAAGGGGGTCACCGGGTTCACGTGAACCCATGGTTCCCTCCCGAGATCATATATTGTAGTGTTATATTTATGAAAAAATATTAAAATATAGATGTGTGAACCCACACTTGAAGTATCACATAATGCGATTATGACTGGGTGCACCTCTCTCCGCGAGATTAGAAATTTGAAATTTATATTTATCTTGTTTTATTTTTCTTTCTAAAATTAGATAACACTTCTCTAAGTGGTAATTGGTGTATATATATATAAGAATTAATTTTAGACCTATAATTTTAAAAATTTAACGATTTTCAATAATAAAAATCTAAATGTCGAACCGATCAAATTTATATCATAGATCAACTTTTTTATAACTGCGCACCCATTATCTCAAATCCTGGATACGCCTCTGGTTGCAGTTAGATTATTAAGTATCAAATCCGATTGAAATGTCTTTCAAGAAGCAATGGACTGTGCTATGACCATGTAAATGGTGTATCCTACGTCTTTATTTTCGTTTTCCTTGTGATTTTTTGTGGCTAATGCAGCATGTTGTATTTTACCTTATTTCATTCTCCTTGTGCTTTTTTAGTTGACTAACATACGTGTATTCTTGTTGTGTTGTGATGGTTAGCACCCCGCCATTCTAGTTTAACATGGTTAAGAAGACTGGAAAAAAAAACGAGAAGCAGAGGAAAACATAGGTGTTTTGGAAGTTGGCATGCAACTTTACTAATGTATGAAGTGCCTTAGAGCAGAATCATCTGCAATAACCGTGGCTCTCCCAAATGGATTGATCTTCATTTTAAGATTAGCTGCCCAGGTTATGTTGTATACGATTGATGAAGTGGAGTATCACTGACAACCAACAATGTGATGAGCACCAATGTTTCACATGCTGAATTGATCATATGGACAAAGTTGCTACATTGGCAAGGAATTACAAGTCCAGCAAAGACATGGCAGGAGGTGATGACAAAATTTGAAATGAATACAATATAAATATTAATTATGTATAAGAGAACAAGAAGTAGTAGAACTAGGAAGAACGCGTGTGGAGAGCCACCAAAGAGGAATAAAAGCCATCCTTGATGTTGATAAGAGTATTGTGTTTCCCTTTTTCCACAATAACTCCATTTTTAAAAACAGCGATTACATCTGCTCCTTTGATGGTAGATAATCTATGTGCTACCACCACGGTTGTACGATTTACCACCACCCTGTCAAGTGCATCTTGAACTATTCTCTCTGATTCTGCATCCAATGCGCTTGTAGCCTCATCTAACAGTAGGATTTTTGGATTTTTCAATATGGCCCTCGCTATAGCTACTCGTTGCTTTTGCCCACCTGATAGCTGAGTTCCTCGCTCTCCCACTGTCGTATCATAACCCTATAGTTTTTGAATAAGTAAGCTGGCCTGTCATTTCCATTATTGACAATATATATATGGAGGATTATAATATTCAAACCAACCTGTTGCAGACCACTGATGAACTTGTGGGCATTTGCTAGTTCTGCTGCTGCTAAAACTTCTGCTTCAATTGCATTTCCTTCCTTTCCATATGCAATATTGGCTCGAATTGTGTCGTTGAACAACACTGGCTCTTGGCTAACAAGCCCCATTTGCTGCCTTAGCCATTTTACCTGGAATTTCTGAATCTCTATTCCGTCCAACGAAATCTGGCCTGAATCAGGATCATAAAACCTTTGCAGCAAAGATATTACAGTAGACTTTCCACATCCGCTCTCCCCAACTAAAGCAACCGTCTGAAATTTCAACTCACAACAAAGTTAACTAATTAATTATCAAACTCTATATGCCTTAAAAATGATACCTAAGATGGAATCAAACTGTAAATTTACCTGTCCACTGCGGATGGTCAAGCAAAGGTCTCTTAAAATTTGAACATCTGGCCTCGTTGGATACTTAAAGCTTACATGCCTCAGCTCAATATCTCCCTTCACAATGTCGAGTGTCTTACCAGACTCATCACTTGGATCTACTTTTGATTTCCTGTCTAGAATAGCAAATATCGAAGCAGCTGCATTCTTGGCCTTGGTTGAATCTGGAGCCAATGAGCTTGACTGGGAAATTCCTATAGCTGCCGTTGACAGAGCAAAGAAAACCTGCCAGGTTGCAAGTACTCCATATTAGCCTCATAACAGACATTAACTAAAATCCTGAAGAAGAAAAAAATGTAACCGGGGGTATTGTGCATACACGGTAAACGTCTGCAAAGGTGATTTTGCCATTCTGAACAAGAAGAGCTCCAGCATAAAAACTGGTTGCATATACACAAAACATCAAAGTATTTGATACACCAAAGCCCATCCCGCTAATCAAACCTTGCTTTATTCCTGCCTTCAATGGGCCTTCACACTTTCCTCTGTATGTTTCCATCACCTTCTCTTCTGCACAAAATGATGCAACAGTTCTTATACTTCCAACAGCATCATTCGCAACTTGACTTGCTTCCGCATACATAGTCTGTGAAAAGTACGATTAATCAGTAACATTATCACTGAAAGAGTTTATAATGGTAACAGATAATAACCAAAAAGATAATTTATAGCTTAGCTAATGTATTGATGTTTGAGAAAAACTATCAAGATTTATAGCTTGGCTAATATAGAAACTTCATTCACTATTATGTAAGCTGAACAATAAGGATTCAAACATACCTTTGCATCTGCACTGAACCCTGTCATGAACTTCATTTGGAGATATCCACTTAATCCAATTAGAGGTATCATAGCAAGGACGATAAGTGCCAACTGCCAACTCGCTTCAAAAGCAACAGCTAAACCTATAATTGCTGTTGCACTATCTTGGACCATTTGAGCAAGTGCATCTCCTACTAAACCACGGACTGCAGCTGCATCAGCGGAAAGCCTAGCGCCAATGATTCCAGTGGAGTTCTCAGGTTCATCAAACCATCCTACCTCCATGTGGACCAACTTCTCAAAGCACATTGATCTAATTCTTCTTACCAACTTACAACCAGCTATACCGAAAAGGTATGACCTTGCAGGAAATGCAATTAAAGTTACAGCTGCAAGAAGTACAAACATTTCAGCCCAAAACCTTGAGTCCTTCCTAAGTTCTTCTGGTGGCTTATAAAATATTTTGATCACGGTAGCGAATAAGATGCCGAAAATTGGAAGTATAGCACCATTAATAATTGCAGCCACAGTTCCAATAATGATCACAGGTGCCTCAGGCTTGTTGAGATAGGCTAAGCGACTAATGGGGACATTTAACGGCTTTCCAGATACTTCCTGGATACCTGTTTCTGTGTCTTCATTAGCTGTTTCAGATACACTAAGTCCATTAGGAAAAGAAAATGAGATGGAGAGTGAACGGCTGCTGCTATTTCCTACTCCAGATGAACTCCGACTCACAGATCGTAATAGTGACATCCTTTTACTTGACTGTCTACCAGATTCCATAGACTTATCTAATCTTCCCCTCTCATCTAAACCTGATTTTTCTGTTTCTTTGTTTACTTCTTGTAAGCGTATAAGCTGAGAGTACCCTCCCTCTGGATCCTTGAGTAGTTCGGAATGTGTGCCTGAACAGCCCACAGCAATGACGTTAAAGAGAATGTTTGTGTCATCTTTCTTTTAAGAAGTTCATTAAGACGGAAAATAAACTCGAACTTGAAGTGTCCTTCAAAGACATAAAGATTCAGAAAACAAGCATTAGGTTCATAAATGTCTCTAGTGATTGAAACAACACACACAAATAATACTAATGACAAAGTTCACGGTTCTTATTTGAATGTGTCTTAACTCAGACTTGATGAATTTGTCATTTAATATGCTAACCAGACTGCTATAACATTCTGGATTAGTATATGATGTTGAACAGAATAATAGTGAAGTCAATATTGATTTATTCTCCAAAGGTCAGAGAATAGCATATTTAACTAAGTCTGTGGTTCAATACCTTTTTCAACAACTTTTCCCCGATGAATGACTGCAATCATATCAGCATTCCTTACTGTGGTCAGTCGATGTGCAACTATGATGGTTGTTCTGTTGATCATAATTTTATCCAATGCTTCTTGTACAACTCTCTCAGATTCTGCATCTAATGCACTTGTTGCTTCATCTAACAGTAATATCCGTGGATCTTTTAAAATTGCTCTTGCAATGGCAATTCTTTGCTTTTGCCCACCAGAAAGTTGAGTTCCATGTTCTCCAACCATGGTGTCTAGACCCTGAACAAAGAAGTTTTCATGTAAACGGTAAATCAGGAGTCAACTCAGTTGTGATTACAAAGAAAGCTGAAAGAAGAAGCACAAACTTTTGAAAGATGACCAGACTAAGTTCAGAATAAAACCTGTGGGAGTTTATCTAAGAATTTTGCGGCATTTGCTAACTCAACTGCAGCTCTGATCTCTTCAGGAGTAGCATCGTACTTTCCATACACAATATTTTCCTTAATGCTTGCTGTGAAAAGCACAGGTTCTTGGCTCACAAGACCAATCTTTCCCCTGATCCACTTAAGCTGGAAGTCCTTGAGATTAACTCCATCAATCAGAACCTGACCAGATTGAGGATCATAAAATCTTTCTATCAGACTTATGACTGTTGACTTCCCACTTCCACTTTGCCCGACCAAAGCTGCAGTTGTGCCACTTGGTACAAATAATGAAAATCCACCGAATATTTTCTCATCAGGTCTGGCTGGGTAACTGAAGTACACATCATTCAATTCAATATTGCCACGAATGTCGTTCAATATTTTTCCATTGGTATCATAAGCATCTATCTCTGGCTTTCTCTCTATAGTTTCAAACATCTTGAAAGCTGCAGCTTGACCTGCAGCGAATGCAGACATACACGGAGATGCCTGTCCCAGGGACCTGACATAGAAATATTTGATCATAACGCATGAATTCAAGCTTAGAAAATCCCACCATCTTCAATTTACTTGATGTATTGTTGTATGTAGCTTTTAAGAAGAAGAAAAAAAACTCACATGGAAGCAGTTAACACAGCAACAATTATATTGATAACCTGACCACCTGTATATCCTTTTTCCAAGATGAGCTTTGCACCATACCAAATAGCTAAAGCATAACTACAGTACATAAGAGCAAAAAGTGAACCAAGACCTAATCCACTTGCCAGCCCTTCTTTTGCACCTGAATGATAAGCTTTGATTAATGACTCGTTGTAGTCGGCTATAGCTTTCTTCTCCCCTGTAAATGATGCAACCTGAGGAGGAAACAAGATACATATCATACTTGTACTGGTGAGAAGAAAGTAAAACAAAGATAATTGCTTTACTTATTATGACATACTATTCTAATGGATCCAATTGTCTGTTCAACCACCGTTGCAGCCTTGGCATAAGCTTCTTGTCCACTCGACGCCATCCTAGATAGGATGAGGGACATCATTCCACCAGATATTATAAGTAGAGGAATGATGGATAACATAACAAACGTGAGAATCCAGCCTTTGGTAAATGCAATGACAAAGCCCCCAATGAATGTTGATATCAGCTGTACACATTTCCCTACCTGCCACAGTTAAGGAAATAACATCAAGTATTGAAAAAGCAATTTAAGGCAAACAGTTGCTTTTGAGCATTGAATACCTTTTCACCCATCGCGTCTTGTATAAGTACAGTGTCACCAGACATCCTCCCAACCACCTCTCCTGTATTTGTTTCGTTATCATAGAAAGCAATATCTTGTTGTAAAATAGTTTTCAGATAGAGACTCCTTATTCGAGAAGCTTGTCTTTCACCGGATATCATCCAACAAGCAACCTCTGTACAACATTCATATTCATTTAAACATCAATCATGACTATATATACTCAATAAAGACAGATTAATGTTCACACTTACGAAGAAATGCAGCTACTCCACATGCCAAAGCTAAGTAAACCATTTTCAGAGAGACCTACATGAAAATTAGACAGATTGTGATGATTTTCAGTATATCAAAAATGAAATAAGAAGTTGGAAGATGTTAATTACCTTGGTGACCATTCGAAGCACATCTTTGTTATTTTGGTTTTGTCCAAAAGAATCAGTCAGTTCTCCGAAAAGAACAGTCATAATGGGGATTGACAATCCATTTCCAATAGCTCCAATAGTTCCAATGATCATCAAAACTATATCTGTTGAATCCGCAAAGGAAAAGAGCTTGTAAAAAGGAACTGTTTGGATTTGTTTGATCATGTTTGAATCCTGTTGGCCTCCTGCATTGTCTTGCTCTTCTGATGATGCTTCATTGAGCTTGTAAAAGGGAACTGTATTATTTTCATTCAAACCATTCCCTTCACCCATAGCTATGTGTGTTTCGTTTGCCACAAACACCAATTTAGACTAAGTTAGACATGAAAAAGAATGAAATTTTAGTGAAAACATTATATGTATTCAGCTTGAGTTGAAAAATTATGAACAAACTATGTATGATAGTTGTGTTATTCAAGAAAAATAATAGATCAAAGACAGAACGTGGGGGTGGGAGAATTTTTTTTTTTTTTTAAAAACTATATACTAAGAAGGAATAATAAGAGTTATTGATGATATGTACGCACGTAGTAGTAGTAATAGATTTGAAGATTTTAGACAACGTGGTGGGCAGAGAGAGGTAGAAAGAAATTCTCCTATAACCAATGAATTTATTCAGTCACCACTACTTTGACCAAATAAATGTTATAACCACAGCTTCATTTAATTCTAATTCGCAGCAGACACTTTGTCATTCGCATATCTCTTCGTCCTATATACTTGTAATTATACAAATACAAATCTTCACATGCCCCGTTCTCTTTTGCCTTCTCTCTTTCTCGTTTTATACAAACACAAATTATACAAAATACAATGTATAATTTGTGTTTGTATAAAGCGAGAAAGAGATTTGATATACAAATACCACTGTTTTAAGTCGATTCAATTATATACGAATTCAAATTCTATGCAGATATACAAACACAAAGAGCATATACATATACAAATGCAATTCTCATAGACACGGACATTTGATTTATACAAATCGTTGAGATTTATACAAATCAGATGCCTGTGATTTTATACAAATCTGATGCTCCATAGCAAAACTGTAGCTATAAAGCGCTAATATGATTTTTATGTTTGCTACACCTAAAATTTATTTTTTAAAAAACTAATTATTTAGATACAGTTTAGTTTGCAATATTACGTATCTTACTAAATTTCGATTTGTCTAGATACGTTTAGATACATGTATCTCGGTATACATGATGTCAAAATTAGGTGTAATTTGTTGTAGTACATTGTATCCAAGTTGATTCACATGTATCTGAGATACATAACAAATCTTGTTCGTCACTCTCTTGTGTCTCTAGTATTCCAAATACATACAAATACATGTATCTAGTGTGTATCTAGTGTGATTCACAATGTATCAGAAATACATAACAAACCTCACTCACCTCCGGACCCATCTCACTCGCCTCTCTCCCTATTTTAGTGAGTCTGGCAACACAAAAAATTTAAAATAAAATAAAAATAAAATATATATATATATATAAAAGTGTATCATCCTCAATATATGATATAAAACTCTTAATTAGTGGTAAGATACGTAGTATTTTGAAAGTACAAATAATAATAGTGTATGTGATAGTAAAATATATCTAATTATATAGTTTCTCCTAAAAATAAACTAAAAATATGTTAGTATTTTTTTCATGAGGTACCTGTTGAAGTTTGATTCAAAGATATTGTTGCTTGATGATTGTTAATATTAATCAGATTATTATCTGTTAGAAAATTAGCATTTACGATAAAATATTTGAAGTTGACCACGCAAAACAATAAAATAATAATTATATAAAGTTAGTTGTATTCAAATATGAACTTCACATGGCCAACCAAGTTTGTGAATTTTGAAGATTTGTCCTTGATTACAACAAATAATAAGCTAAATACGTTGTTTTCTTTTTTAGTTTTTAATTTTTCATTACATGTTTCTTTTATTTTACTTGATGAATAGAAAAGTTTTAGAAACCAAAAGTGTTCATCTCTAACGAAAACAAAATTTAGATCAAATTGCAGAAATACAAGATCCTACTAGCTAGGGATGATGGAAGCACAACTTATTATTCCTCAATAATGATCTATGAGGACAAGGTTCTTATTGACAACATGAGTTATGTTATGAACATAGCCACACTAGACGATCCATTTGGGAAGCTGTCAAATTACAATTGGTTAAAGCAATGAGCGTAAGGACGAAAGATGAAAACCATATGTTAAGAATATACATGTATATAAATAGAAGTTTCTATAGCCTAGTCATCAATTGCTATAACGCGCACGCGTGCTGCAAAACCAGTAAAACAGAATGAGAGACTGGAAGCAGCCAGGGAACTCAACAAGCACAACAGATCATGACATTAACTTGCTAGACTTTACACGACTTGCAAGAAACAGTAAAATAACAAAAAATAATAAAATACAAGTATTGAGAGGATAAGAAGTAGTAAAACTAGGAAGCACTGGTGTGGAGGGCCACCAAAGAGGAATAGAAGCCATCTTTGATATTGATAAGAGTATCATGTTTCCCTTTCTCCACAATTACTCCATTTTTCACCACAGCAATTACATCTGCTCCTTTGATGGTGGATAATCTATGTGCTACCACCACGGTTGTACGATTTACCATCACCCGGTCAAGTGCATCTTGAACTATTCTCTCTGATTCTGCATCCAATGCGCTTGTCGCCTCATCTAATAGTAGGATTTTTGGATTTTTCAATATGGCCCTCGCTATAGCCACTCGTTGCTTTTGCCCACCTGACAGCTGAGTTCCTCGTTCTCCCACTGTCGTATCATAACTCTGTAATATTCATGTGTAAGCTCACTGATCATTTCCATTGACAATACATCTATATATGGAGATTTATATTATTCAAACTAATTACCTGTTGCAGACCACTGATGAACTTGTGGGCATTTGCTAATTCGGCTGCTGCTAAAACTTCTGCTTCAGTTGCATTTCCTTCCTTTCCATATGCAATATTGGCTCGGATTGTGTCATTGAACAACACTGGCTCTTGGCTTACGAGCCCCATTTGTTGCCTTAGCCATTTTACCTGGAACTTCTGAATTTCTATTCCGTCCAATGAAATCTGGCCTGAATCAGGATCATAAAACCTTTGCAGCAATGATATTACAGTAGACTTTCCACATCCGCTCTCCCCAACCAAAGCAACTGTCTGAAATTTCAACGCATAACAAAGTTAATCAATGAATTTAATAACCAGTAAGGCAAACTCTATATGCCTTACTTTGTCCTGGAAAAACGATATTTAAGATGAAATCAAACATGAGTAAATTCACCTTTCCACTGCGAATGGTCAAACAAAGGTCTCTTAAAATTTGAACATCTGGCCTTGTTGGATACTTAAAGCTTACGTGCTTCAGCTCAATATCTCCCTTCACAGTGTCCAGTGTCATACCAGAATCATCACTCGGATCGATTTTTGATTTCCTGTCTAGAATAGCAAATACGGAAGCAGCTGCACTCTTGGCCTTGCTTGAATCTGGAGCCAATGAGCTTGACTGGGAAATTCCTATAGCTGCCATCGTCAGAGCAAAGAAAACCTGCCAGGTCGCAAATACTCCACATTAGCCTCATAACAGACATTTACTAAAATCCTGAAAAAAAATGTAAAAATGTAACAGGGGGTATTGTGCCACATACACGGAAGACGTCTGAAAAAGTGATTTTGCCATCTTGAACAAGACGAGCTCCCGCATAAAAACTGGTTGCATATACACAAAACAGCAAAGCAAATGATACACCAAACCCAATCCCACTAATCAAACCTTGCTTTATTCCTGCCTTCAATGGGCCTTCACACTTTTTGCTGTATATTTCCATCACCTTCTCTTCTGCACAAAATGACGCAACAGTTCTTATACCTCCAACAGCATCGTTCGCAACTTGACTTGCTTCCTCATACATCAACTGTGTAAAGTACGATTAATCAGAAACATTATCACCAAGAGAATCTGGCAATGGTAAAAGATACTCCCTCCGCCCCAATCTATGTGGCACCATTGGATTAGGTGCTAAGTTTAAGAAAGAAACGGAGTCTTTTCAAATTTTTGGTCTAAAACAAAACTTCGACATTTGTGTGCAATTTGAAGTTAAGTTGTTTCTAATTATAGAAAGGAGATATTCTTTTTGGGACAGACTAAAAAGGAAAGTGTGTCACAGCGATTGGGACGGATGGAGTAATAAAAAAATAACCATCTGAAGGTTAAAAAGATTTATAGCTTGGGTAATGTAGTGATTTGACTGATGTTTGAGAAAAACTTTCAAGTTTAAGACTCAATTATCCATATTTTTTAATATCACCAGCAACAGTAAGCTATATAATAAGGATTTGGACAAACCTTTGCATCTGCACTGAACCCTTTCATGAACTTGATTTGGATATATCCATTTAATCCAATTAGAGGTATCATAACAAGAACGATAAGTGCCAACTGCCAACTCGCTTCAAAAGCAATAGCTAAACCTACAATTGATGTTGCAGTATCTTGAACCATTTGAGCAAGTGCATCTCCTACTAAACCACGGACTGCAGCTGCATCAGCAGAAAGTCTAGCGCCAATGATTCCAGTGGAGTGCTCAGATTCATCAAACCATCCTACCTCCATGCAGACCACCTTCTCAAAGCACATTGATCTAATTCTTCTTATCAACTTACAACCAGCTATACTGAAAAAGTATGTCCTTGCAGGAAAGGCAATTAAAGTTACAGCTCCAAGAAGAACAAACATAAGAGCCCAAAACCTTGAGTCCTTCCTTAGTTCATGTGGTGGCTCATAAAATGTTTTGATCACACTAGAGAGTAATATTCCGAAAATTGGAAGTATAGCACCATTAATAATTGCAGCCACAGTTCCAATAATCATCACAGGTATTTCAGGCTTGTTGAGATACGCTAGGCGACGGATGGGGACTTCTAACCGCTTTCCAGCTACTTCCGGGATACCCATTTCTGTGTCTGTGTTAGCTGTTTCAGGTACACTAAGTCCAGTAGCTAAACCAAGTGATATGGAGAGTGAACGGCGGCTGCTATTTCCTACACCAGATGAACTCCGACTGATAGATCGCATTAGTGATATTCTTTGACTTGACTGTCTACCAGATCCCATAGACTTATCTATGCTGTCCCTCTCATCTAAGCCTGATTTTTTTGTTTCATTGTTCACTTCTTGTAAGCGTATAAGCTGAGAGTATGCTCCCTCAGGATCCTTGAGTAGTTCACCATGTGTGCCTGAACAGTCCACAGCAATGACGTTAAAGTGAATGTTTGTGTCGTCTTTCTTTTAAGAAATTCATTCAGACGGAAAAGAAACTCGCAGTTGAAGTGTCCTTTAAAGCTCTGCTAGGGAAGACTTAAAGATTCAGAAAACAAGCATTAGGTTCATAAGAGTCTATAGTGATTGAAACAACACACACAAATAATACTAATGGCCTCTGCTAGGAAAGACTTACAGATTCAGAAAACAAGCATTAGGTTCATAAGAGTATAGTGATTGAAACAACACATACAAATAATACTAATGAAATAGTTATTGGTTCTTGTTTGGATGGGTCTGAACTAAGACGAGATGAATTTGTCATTTAATATGCTAACCAGACTACTATAACATTCTTTATTAGTATATGTTGTTGAACAGAATAATAGTGAAGTCAATATTGATGGTCATCCGGAGGACAGAGAATAGCATATCTAACTGAGTCTATATGGTTCAATACCTTTTTCAACAACTTTTCCCCGATGAATGACTGCAATCATATCAGCATTCCTTACTGTGGTCAATCGATGTGCAACTATAACGGTTGTTCTGTTGATCATAATTCTATCCAATGCTTCTTGTACAACTCTCTCAGATTCTGCATCTAATGCACTTGTTGCTTCATCTAACAGTAATATCCGTGGATCTTTTAAAATTGCTCTTGCAATGGCAATTCTTTGCTTTTGCCCACCAGACAGTTGAGTTCCATGTTCTCCAACCATGGTGTCTAGACCCTGAACAAAGAAGTTTTAGTGTAAATGGTAAATCAGGAGCCAACTCAATTGATTACAAAGAAAGCTGAAAGAAAAAGCACAGATTTTTGAAAGATGACCAGACTAAATTGCAAATAGAACCTGTGGGAGTTTATCGATGAACTTTGCGGCATTTGCTAACTCAGTTGCAGCTTTGATCTCTTCAGCAGTAGCATCATGCTTGCCATACAGAATATTTTCCTTAATGCTTGCTGTGAAAAGTACGGGTTCTTGGCTCACCAGACCAATCTTTCCCCTGATCCACTTAAGCTGGAAGTCCTTGAGATTAATTCCATCAATCAAAACTTGACCAGATTGAGGATCATAAAATCTTTCTATCAGACTTATGACTGTTGACTTCCCACTTCCACTTTGCCCAACCAAAGCTGCAGTTGTGCCACTTGATACAAATAATGAAAATCCACCGAAAATTTGCTCATCAGGTCTGGCTGGGTAACTGAAGCACACATCATTCAATTCAATATCACCACGGATGTCGTCCAATATTTTTCCATTGGTATCATAAGCATCTATCTCTGGCTTTCTTTTTATGGTTTCAAACATTTTGAAAGCTGCCGCTTGACCTGCAGCGAATGCAGACATACAGGGAGCTGCCTGCCCCAGGGACCTGACATAGAAATATTTAATCATAACACATGAATAAAAGCTTAGAAAATCCTGTTTTCTTCAATTTACAATATGGATTGTTGTTTTTAGCTTTTAAGGAATTTAGTAGCTCAAAAAAAAATACTCACATGGAAGCAGTTAGCACAGCAATAATTATATTGATAACTTTACCACCAGTATATCCTTTTTCCAAGATGAGCCTTGCACCATACCAAATAGCCAAAGCGTAGCTGCAGTATATAATAGCAAAAACTGAGCCAAGACCTAATCCAGTTGCCAGCCCTTCTTTTGCACCTGAATGGTAAGCTTTAATTAGGGACTCGTTATAGTCAGCCACAGCTTGCTTCTCCCCTGTAAATGATGCAACCTGAGGAGGAAACAAGATACATATCATACTTGTACTATTTACATAAAAGAAAGTGAAACAAAGATTGCTTTACTCCGATACAAATTTCATCGGAGCATGAGAATGAGCATGGCATCCCAATAATTTAAACTTATTTCGTACCGTTCTAATGGATCCAATTGTCTGTTCAACCACCGTTGCAGCCTTGGCATAAGCATCTTGTCCACTGGACGCCATCTTAGATAGAACGTGGGACATTGCTCCACCAGATATAGCAAGTAGAGGAATGACGGATAACATGACAAGTGTGAGAAGCCAGCCTTTGGTAAATGCAATGACAAAGCCCCCAATGAATGTTGATATCAGCTGTACAAATTTCCCTACCTGCCACAGTTAAGGAAAAAACATCAAGTATAGAAAGAGCAATTATATCCTCACAAAGAATCATTTATGCAGAAAGCGAATTATTATGTAGTGGCTTCACAGAAAAGGGCTTCGTAGAGTTGCTTTTCAGCATGAGTACCTTCTCGCCCATTGCGTCTTGTATAAGAACAGTGTCACCAGACATCCGCCCAACCACCTCTCCCGTATTTGTTTCCTTATCATAGAAAGCAATATCTTGTTGCAAAATAGTTTTCAGATAGAGACTCCTTATTCGAGAAGCCTGTCTTTCACCGGAGATCATCCAACAAGCGACCTCTGAACAACACATTTTAATTTTAACTTTCGATAATATTTCAAAAATAGCCTACGCTTAGTAAAGGCAGAATGAGAACTTACGAAGAAATGAGGCCACCCCACATCCCAAAGCTAAGTAGACAAACTTCAGTGAGACCTACATGAAAATTAGACAGATAACATAAGAAGCTATACTAAAAAAATAGGAGTGATAAATTTGGAAAATGTTCATGAAAGCATACCCTGGAAACTACGCGAAGCACATCTTTGTTATTTTGGTTTTGTCCAAAGGAGTCTGTCAATTCTCCAAAAAGAATTGTCATAATGGGCAGGGACAATCCATTGCCGATAGCTGCAATAGTTCCAGTGATCATCAAAACCATATCAGTGGAATCAGCAAAGGAGAAGAGCTTGTAAAAGGGAACTGTATTAGCTTTCTCCGCTTGTTTGGTCTTGTCTGAATCCTGCTGGCTTGTATTGTTTTGCCCTCCTGATGAGGAGGCTTCATTGAGTCCTGAATTTCCATTCAAACCGTTCCCTTCAGCCATAGCTGTTCCAATGTTAAAGAGTAAATTTGTTAGTCACAACACCAATTTAGACCTCCGTTGGCAGGCTAATACTCAGACCTGAAGATCAGTAGCATTTTACTAAAAGCATATTAGAAAAACACAAGGGAAGAAAGCAACAAACAAGTATTACTGATGAAATTGAGAAGAACTCAAAACTGCCAGCAGACCCCTTATCTGATCCCACTAACCATTAATTAGTTTCGGATTTACTCAGCTTGATGAAAGCAATGCAGTGTATGCAGACCTTACCCCTACCTTTGAAGAGGTAGAGAGGTTGTTTCTGAAAGACAACAAACGGTGAAAAAGAGGCAATAACATCAAATAGAAACAATAACACATGGGTCCTCCTCATGCCACCTTGGACCAACCTCTCACACCTCCTAACCGTGGCATTTGCATGTTTCCTCTTTACATGTCGAAATCATCGCAGCCTCATATCTTCCACGGGGTCACTCCTACCAAGTCTTGGATATCTTCATTCCTAATTTTATCTATCCTAGTATGTCCATGCAACTACCTCAGCATCTTCATCCGTGTCTCTCCCAGAGCAAATAAAAATGAGCTTTAACTACATATCCGTGATGATTGGGAAATGTTCTGAGTCACCTCCCACAGTCTTAACTGGACCTCTTAGCACCATTATACATGTCCTTAATAGCATAAAACAGGCTATAGGAATTAAGAACTTTAGCCTCTAAACATCTCCAAATAATATCCTTTGAAACTTTATCATATGCATTTTTATAAATACCATAGCGGCCCCGGCATGCATGAAATCCCAAACCACTACTCCACTCCCTCCTAGTGGCTGATGTGAGTCTTGAGAAAAAAATTACTATTTCCTCAATTACTTTCCTTTTTAGTCTATTTAAAAAAATAAAATAAAATTATAACAGTTTAAATTTCTACTTTCCTCATGAAATAATTAAAGCATAAGATTAAATGACATTTTAATACACATTTAACATAATTTTTATTTTTTTTTATTTTCTTATACTTTATTTCAGAAGGAAAAAATAATAGACATGAATAGTCAAACAGGGTGGTGGGTAAAGAGAGAGAGAGAGAAAGGGAGGAAGAAAATAAAAGTAAAGAGAGAAGAAGGCCGTACCTGATCTGAGTTTCTTCTCCTTCAGATTCAAACTGAATGACAGTGGTTGAAAGTTTATATATTTGTGAAAGTGGGTTGTTGTCCTGTTATTGTTGTGGGTTCCTGCTTTTCTGGCAGTGCACTTTACTTGTGTAAAGTTTGAATTTCCTTGTGGGAAATGATTACTCAACTCTACGAGAAATGGAGCTGTTGAACCAAATAAGATTTGGATTTGGATGCACTCTCTTCCTTTTTTTTCTGCTGATGCCGCCCAACTTCTACCGGCTGCCGTCCAACTCACCTTGACCTACAATAAGGATCGGATGCAGTAGTACATTTACATAGAAACAAACTTATACATATTCTGTACTAGCTAATATTATATTCTTGTAGGATCCTGATGAGCAAAACGATAAAAATAAAGTTTCTTTTCCTTGAAGCACAAGGTGTCAAAGACTCTTTTTTTATATCAGAAAAACGTACAGACGTACGTAGGTGCTTAGCTAAGCATTTTGCTTGGAGTGGGGATAAAGCGAATGAATACACACAGGCGGCATGGCATGATATATATAAACATGATTTTTCATAACTTTAACTTCAGTCGGTACTTTTAACTTAAATTTGTATAAAATTAAAAAAATAAATATATTTGTCTAATTCGATAATTTTATGTCCTATGTGATGTTTTATGTGTATTATGCCATGTAAAACACGTATATTTATTTGTTCAATTTTATATCTATTTATACACACTTAAAGTTGATGATCATAATTATTCGCTAAAGTCAAATTAAAAGTCATGTTCATGTATTATCCTATTAAGTCAATGAGTTTGACGGAGAAATGTAGTACCTCTGTTTATATTTGGTGCGAGGAAATTGCCATGACAGCGGAGCCGCAATAAGAATACAGATTTGAATCCGTGTATCATTACAACTAAAAAGTGTCAGCTTCCATTAAATATTTATGGACTACCATATAGTACTATTTTATTTTATATAAAAAAAATGCTAAAATGTCAAAAGCACTTTTAAAATTTTGGTCCGAGTACAAAGTATTTTTCAACTTGATTGAGATGTATAAAGATTAGGGAATTTGTTATTAATTGTAAATAAATGAGTTAATTTAGATGTTAATTTCTACATCTACTAGACACAGGCATCCCACATGTTCAATATATGATACTTTCTATATCTCAATTTATGTGATATTTTTCATTTTTCAAGAGTCAAACAATTTAAATTTGATCAGAAATTTATGCATGGAATCTTCAATTTCCTTGAAATGAAATTTATATATTTGTCGACTACGTAAAAAGTACTACAAGTTACAGTAATTGATAATTCAAAATGTTTATCAAAAAACTTACGGTCAAAGATAAACTTGTTTGGATCTCGAAATTCGAAAAGTGCCACATAAAATGAGACGGAGGGGGTACTTTTTTAGTTTCAACTCATGTGACACTGTTGGAATTGGGGAAATTATTTAAAAAGTTATTATTTTTAAATATTTGAAGTTATTTATTATTGTGATTTTATAGTAATTTTTATATAATTTTAAAGTAATATATACTACTCTCTATGTCCTAATTTACGTGGCACAAATTTCAATAATCAACCAATTTTTTAATATTTTTTTCAAATATTTCAAGTTATTAATTATTGTGACTTATAATATTTTTACGTTATTTTGAAATAATATTTGGTACCTCTTTTGTCCCAATATTACTTGACACCGATAAAATTTTGAAAGTCAATCAAATTTTTTATATATCTTTTAAAATTTTAAATATTTAAAATTATTAATTATTTTGATTTATAGAGTTTTTAGAAACTAATTTTCAAAAGATAAAAAATAAAATAAAAGTTATATGGATGCCCTCATCTAGAAATAGACACGTCGTCGTTGTCATCGTTCGTTACTAGCTAGCGGCTACAATACTTATGAACATCACTATCAACTACCATTACTATAATATTCATCAATTACTATCGACAATCACCATCATCAATCATTATTATACATCATCATTTACTATAACATTCACAACCATCATTAATAATCAATATTATCTATCATACCTATCAATCGCCACTATCAATCACTATTGTCAGTCATTATCACTACTAGCTACTACTCATAATACAATCAATAAACACCATCTCAAATACGCAACCACAATGCAAGCATCATCGTCACCACCAAGGTTTTCACGCCTCGTGGTGGTGATCAAAAGTTGATCAACAACGCCTCCAGACCTTAACATAAATGAGAATCAATTTAAAAAGAATACGAGGGGGCTAACCTCCGATCCTATGGTGCTAACCATTCGATTCCTTACTCAAGGTATCAACCGGTTAATAGAGGTTTTCTTTCACATTCTAGTTATAACTAATCATACTTAATTATATTCATAACAAAACATGTGTTAGCTAGAAATGATGATTAAAGTTAATTAGTTAATTCAACTTGCATGAATAGTTTAGTCAATGCAAGTTGCAACCTTGAAGTAACTAAAAAATAATCGAACCTCTTACATACTCCATGTGTCCCTAATTACTTGTCAACTTTTAAATCGACACACCTATTAAGAATACAATAATTGATATAGTAACTTTACCATTTTACTCCTATTAATTATGAAATAGATGAATTTTAAATTTAAGATTTTTAAGAAGTTCTACATTTTTCAAAGTAATTAATTGAGGGTATAATAAGTAAAAAAAATTGTCTTTTCTTGATTTGTCAAAATGGACAACTAATTAGGGACAACTAAAAAAGAAAAAGTGGACAAGTAATTAGAGACATAGGAAGTACTCCCTCCGTCCCTTTTTAGTTGTCCACTTTAGAAATGACACACAGATTAAGGCAACAATGATTAGCACAGTGAAGTTACAATTTTACCCTTATGACAACTTTTCACTTCAAAATTACAACAACTTATTTGAATTCAAGTGAAATAAATTGGAGGGAAACAACATACACTTTTACAATTTTCAAGAAGTGTAAATAAGGGTATAATAGGAAAAAATTTGTTGTCCTTTCTTGATTTGTCAAAATGGACAACTAAATAGGGACAACTAAAAAAGGAAATATGGACAAGTAAATAGGGACGGAGGGAGTACGTAACTATAAATTTAATAAAAGAATTTGTTGATTACGATTTCCATTTTAGTTCATTTTTAAATAATCCATTAGCGTTGAACAGACGATAAGTTTTCAGACAATAAATTATCTCTTCGATTGCAGCAAAAGGCAAGATGATGAGCCCCACCACACCTCGTTATAATTCATGCCTCCCCATGTTACAAGGAAAGAATCAACAAGACTTTTGAAATAATTACTCTAAATTCTAAAACTTGTTTGGTTTATTCCACACTAGCAACTTTGCTAAATTAGGATGTAAATATTTTTCACCAAACTTATTTATTAAAGGTATAATACGTAAATATGTCTTATAACTTAACTTTAGCTGACTTTTTTGTCTTTTAACTTTGAGTGTGCTTAAGTAGCTAGACACAAACTTGTATAAAATTGAACAAATAGACACATTCGTCATATGTGTCGTTCATGTGTCCTATAAATATTGTGTCACGTAATACGTATGTATTTATTTGTTCAATTTTATACAAATTTAAGTGTGTACTTGTGCATATTCAAAATTAGAGGGCATGGATATATGTTGAAGACAAATTAAAATGCTTATTTATGTATTATGCCTTTATCAAAAGCAAAGTTGGGAATGTAAATTAGAACTTCAAATTCCAAAAAATGCTCAGATGAGATATTTTTATCTTTTCTCTACGCAAACCATAATCAAAATATAAAATACAATTTCATAAAAAAAAATACCAAATACAATTTCATCAAAAAATAATAATAATTAGTAATTCATATGATTGAGTATATGAATTTTCATTTTCTAATAGTGATTAAAATTCTTACCTAATAATTCAACAACAACAAAAACAAACCTAGATCCCCTTTGCATTGGGTAGAAAAAAATTAAGTAGCTTTTAAGTTTAAAAAATTAAAAGTCAAACTTAAATGACTTTGAAGTAAAAAAAAAAAAAAAAGTAGGGAGAATTTTACTTTTGGTTTTTAACTTTTTTAAAGTCATTTAAAATTTATTTTAAGTTATTTTTAATTTTGTTAAATACTCCCAAAAGCTAAAAATAACTTAACAGTAGATTTAACCAATTTTTAAGTCTATCCAAACAAGTTCCTAGTATAATCCCATAAAATAGGATTTGGGGAGGATATAATGTACGTAGAACTTACCACTATTTTAGAAGTAGCAAGACTATTTCCAATAGACTCTCAGATCAAGAAAAGACAAAGATAAAGAAGAAGAAACAATCAAAGTAGGATAGATAGAAATAACGTAAATGAAGATAGCCATGACAAAATACTACAAGCAACCAAACAAATCATCCTCAATAATAGTCATATATAACAAGTTGCAACGATAATCAAAGTGTAAAATATCACAAATAGTGACCACACACAAAGGACAAAGACACTAGAAGAGTAATACTACTAATAGTATGACTAATAGTAAGGAGGAAACGACGAGAAAACACTCAACTAACTAACTTCCTATCCTAATATGTGTCCTCCATAACTCCTATCTATTATCATGTCATCGGTAAGTTGAAGTTGCGTCATATCATGTCATGTCTAATCACTCTCTCTCCATTACTTTTTTGACCTACCTCTACCTCTCTTGAAACCATATTCCACATCCAACCTCTCACCTCTTTGCATCTTTTTTGCACGTGTCCAAACCATCTCGTCTCGATTTTCGCATCTTATTCTCTATCCAGGCCACTCTTACCTTGTCCTAAATATCTTGATTTCTAATCATATCCCTCCCAGTATACCCACACATACACCTCAACATCCTCATCTCCATAACTTCCATCTTCTCAATGTGGAAGTTCTTGACTGGCTAACATTCCGCTCCATACAATATTGACTGTCTAACCACTGCTCTATAGAACTTGCTTTTAAGTTTTGATGACCTTTTTTGTAACACAAAACTTTAGATGTGAGCTTCCATTTCATCCTCATATAAGATGAGTGACATCATCATCCATCTTCCCATTTTCTTGGATAATAGACCCGACATACTTGAAACTTCCTTATTTTCTGAATGACTTGTGTATTTAGCCTTCTTTCTACGCCAACCTCAGGCGTTACATTACCAAACTTGCGACTCTTAGTATTCCGTCTTGGTTCTACTCAACTGGAGCCCTTTAGACTCCAAAATTTGCCTCCAAACCTCCAACTTATTATTAAATTTGCCTCGAGTCTTGTCAATTCATTCATCACCAAAATAAAAACGATCTAAGAATTGATCAATGATGCAACTTCGTCACAACCGAAAAGTACTCCAAATCACATCTCACATCTTACCCTAATAATTCCTTTACTCATTTCCCCTCCCCCATTTTACTGAAAAAAACAAAAAAAAAAACAAATACAACTCCACCTTATGCTACAATTTCATTTTGTCAAACTAAATAAAAAAATATTTGGAAGAGGACAAACTCAAAATAAAATTTCTCAAATCCAATCCAATCAAATCGGCGTTATTGTCTAAATCCCTATCTTTTTTCTCTTCATAGCAGAGTTTCCTATTAATGGCTGCTGAACCATTACTTCAAACACAGCCAATAACTGAATCAGCTCCATCGTCTCCGACCAATTTCTTTTCCTCCGGTTCCGATTCCGATAATGACTTTTTCGCTCCGACTTCCTGGTCTTCCAACAACTTACAGAAGAAGAAATTCCGCCGATCCAGAACTGCTCCTGCCTTGGTTTCCGTGAATGATCTCTTTGAATCACACCCTCATGAAGAATCTGACCACTTTGAACCTACTTCTCTAGTCAGACAGGCCGCTTTTCTGCTTGTTATTTACCTCTCTCTAGGTGTAGTAGTCTATTCTTTCAACCGTGACCACTTCTCTGGAGTTGAAACCCACCCTGTTGTTGACGCCCTTTATTTTTGCATAGTCACTATGTGTACCATTGGCTACGGCGATATTGCTCCAACTACTCCTTTCACCAAACTCTTTGCTTGTATATTTGTGCTTGTGGGTTTTGGGTTCATCGACATTTTGTTGAGTGGGGTTGTCAATTACGTACTGGACTTGCAGGAGAATTTGATATTGACCGGTACTCGATTACAAGGGCAGCGGCAATTAACTAGCAATGACCATAGGCGTAGCGGATTATCCGCCTGTATGGATTGCATTGTCGATGTAGCAAAGGGCAGAATGAGAATCAGATTGAAGGTGGGTTTGGCTCTAGGAGTTGTGCTTTTGTGTATAGGATTGGGGTCAATGGTGTTGTATTTCCAGGAGGATTTGGATTGGGTTGATTCGGTTTACTTATCGGTAATGTCTGTTACCACTGTTGGATATGGTGATAGGGCTTTCAAAACTCTGCCGGGAAGGTTGTTTGCTTCAATTTGGCTTTTATTTTCTACCCTTGCGGTGGCGCGAGCTTTCTTGTATTTGGCAGAGGCAAGGATTGACAAGAGACACAGGAGAATTACCAACTGGGTGTTGCAGCGTGAAATCACCATTGAAGATCTGCTTGCTGCTGATATTAACAATAATGGTTTCATTAAGTAAGTTTCCTTATTTCTTCCAATCCAAAATTAACAAAACAATAGTATCTTATTACACTACAAATGCTGCCATGAATTCGTATACACATTTGTTTGGTGAGAGATATAAGGTATAATAATTCCAGGATAAATATTTTTATCCCACGTTTGGTTGGAAGGTATTAGGTAGTGCTTGGATTATTTATCCTACCATTTTTGGCATAGTGATGCATAAGTTGTCCCAAAATACATGCTGAAATAACTTATCCCAAGGTAACTCATCCTAAGATTAATTATCCGAAATAACCTGTTCCCAACTTGAGGTTTGGGTTCACTCCTTCATTGACCGATAGGCCACATCATTGGGGATCTACATAACTTATACTCCCGACTCAATTTGTATGTTTTACTTTTCTTTTTAGTTTGTTTAAAAAATTGCGAACCCTTTAATTCTAATTTTTCACTGGACATGTTTATGAGCACAATATTGAAGTACGTTTTTTCCCTCAAGGCCTAGCTTGAGTGGCAAAAGCTGGAGGATTTGTGGCTTAGGTCGCAGGTTCAAGCCCCACACCATGCAAAGCGAAGCCCGATATTTAAGTGGTGAAGGGTAGAGGAGCGGACCCACTATCCACCGAGTTTAGAAGGCTGTGATTGGTCCAAAGGGAAGGTCACATATGAATTTCTCGGTTATCAAAAAAAAAACAATATTGAAGTACGTTTTGGTACAATTTACCTATTTTTAGTTTAAGCTCACAAGATTCAATAGTTTTCTTTAGTTTCTAGAACGGTCATAATCAAACATACAAATTAAAACGGAGGGAGGGAGTATAATCTAATTATCTTTGTCCTGTTTTATGTGACAGTTTTGTTTGTCCTGAAATAACAAGTGGATTAGAAAGGAACATTAGAAGTTACTTTCATAGAAAAAAGACACTTCCTTTAATAACAAAACTTGTTAAATAAATTTGTATTGGAATATTTGGAACATATAAAAGACATAATTTGGATGGAGGGATTAATTAAAAGGCAAATCTTTTGCAATACTACACAGAAAATCAGAATATGTCATTTACAAGCTCAAGGAGATGGGAAAGATCAGTGAGAAAGATGTAATGCAGATATGCAATCAGTTCAACAAGCTTGACGAAAACAACTCTGGGAAGATAACGTTACACAGCCTCTTGCAGAGTCATTTATAGCTGAAAATAAATTGAAATTCTTTGGCTACCATGTACTTAAATCTGCTAAATTTCAAGAAAAAAGGTTAGTATCTCATGTGTATGTCACGTGTATATGACATAAAAGTGTTATATTGCGTATATATGTTCTTGTATGTTATGTATGTCAAGTATGTGTACGTTGACATATAGTGGTATAAGATTACCTGGAGAGAAGAAGATGTGGAAGCCATGAGAGGGAACTCTGGTGAGGAAGAAAACTACAATGAAAACAAAGCAGTAGTTGTTAGAGTCATTTGATTTTCTGGTGAAACTCCCATCAATTATTCGATGGAGTAAACAACAAATGGCGGTGAAGCACCAACAACGGGTAATGTCAGAAGCAAAGAGGGGTGCGATAAGTCTAGTCCTCCTCGAGCCTACTCTCGTCTTTTGAATTAAGCTTCTGATTAAGTTGGTGCAGACGCCAAAGAATCAGGTGACACTAGACTACAGTTAGAGTTTGTGTGAAAGAGAAAATATGAAGAAAGAAAATTTTTTTAAAATATTTTGTGAAATTTATTGGAGGTGGTATATATTTTGTAAAGATTTTATTGATATATTTGAATGTGAAATAGTGGATTTATTTGGTATATCTCTGTATAAATCCCCTTGTATATTTCAGCAATTAAACAAGCTCATAATTCTGTCTCATTTTATGTGTCACCGTTTGACTTGGCATGGCATTAAATGAAAAAAAAAGAAGATTTTTGAAACTTGTGGTCTAAAACATTTTTTAGATATTTGTGTGGTTGTAAATCATTTCATTAATGATAAAAGAGAAGTTTTAAAGTGAAATTATTTCAATTCACATTACTAAAGTCTAAAAGGAGACCGAACGGCGGACGATTTTTTCCTAATTTTATTTTTAGTAATATCGATTGAGCGCGACTGATTTTTGTAGCGTAAAAGCGTAAATTTGATTTAGCTCTATCGGTATCCAAAATGTCAATGGATTTTATTTAAATTAGAAAAGAGTATTTCAAAAAAAAAAATCCATCAAGATCAGTGTCAAGAAAAAAAAGTAATCTATCGATTTCAACTTTCATGGAAAAATTGTTGTTTTAATTGCGAATGATGAATTTCATAAATGAAAAGCCGATATTTAAAAAAAATAAATAAAATACTAATAAATATTTTTTGAGTTATGCATTATACTCCTTAAGATATTATTCTATATGTGATACTATTTTTTTTTAGTTTGTTTTGGAAAAAATATTACCTTATTACAATTAAATTAATTTATCTTTAAAATACATTTTTTTTATCTTAAATAAAATAATTTACAGCCACACGATTATTTTAGATTACAAATTACAAATGCAATTTTTTTTTAAAAAATATGGTTATTAAATATAAAGGCACAAAATGCGTTGGAATGACGGTGGTCACATAAATGCTTCAAATTCAGTCCACGTACCTCATCTGCAGGAGAAGTAATTGTTAGGATTTTTTGAGCGTCGCAGATCTGATTTTAGGTTAATCGTGCAACTCTAGGTAATAAATTTCTTTCCTACTCCTTCTCATGGGTTTAAGATTTGATCAGCGTTTGCTTTTCTTCTGTATTGGATGTACAATCAATTTCTGTGTTTCAATTCTAACTGCTACTTCTTGTGTTTGATGATGCTTTTCTCACTATAATGAAGTCAAAAATAATTTAACAGAGCAAATTTGATTGGTTCACCATTTTTGCAGGCACAATTTTAGATAATTGAGATGTTGATGGATGAGGCAAAACTCTTGCTAGGCTTTCCCACTAATTCTTGCCCCAATGCTTCTCAGGTATCTATTAGTATTTTTATATATATAAAGGTGTGTCACATGCTTGTTTCTTAGGATACTATCCCTTACAACTCCTCCGCAATTTTTAACTACACACCTAAACTTTGTAGCCTTATTGTTATCTATTGAGAATATAATTAAATAATCAAAGTATACTTTTTCTAACAAAATAAAAGTATGCTCTTTATAACATCTTAAGTTTTTAGATGAGATGATCACACAGTCCAAGTTGCATCCCCACACATGACATATGGAATACCTCTATAATTCCATAGGTCATACACATGCGCAAACAAGAGTGAGAAAAAAACAAAGCTACTTTGATATCCGACCACTATCCTCCAAGCTCTCCAGAAACCTTCTTTACCAAATAAACATTATTAGGGAAGTCTTGGTGGAACTGGAAGGAATAAAGAGAGATAGATGATGGAGAAGAGGGGGCAGTATTGGGTGGTCTGAATGTGTCATTGGTGGAGGGACGATTGTTTGGTGGCTGGAAGAAGGTTTTGTTATGGTAGTTTTCTACCGTGTTTGTATGAAATGGGGTTGGAAGAAGGTGGTTCATGGTGAAGAAGTGGTGGAGGGATGGTGGATATAGGTTGGCGTTTTCGTGAGAGCAGGACTGGGTTCTGGTTGTTGGACATATTTTCAAGTGAGGGAGACAGAAGAAAGAAAAAGAATGAAGAAGATTGCAAAAGAAAAGGAAGAGTAAAATGAAAATGAATGATGGAAAAAACAACAACAACTAGGCTTAGTACACAATTTCATGCTCCAACTTGCACATATTTCCTTTTTACACACCCTCCATTCATGAAACTAATGATAGTAGCACATTTCAAACAAATGCAGGTCAAAGCTGCTTATAGAAGGAAGGTATGGGAGACTCATCCTGATTGCTTCCCAGTTCATCTCAAACCTAACGCAGAACTCAAATTTAAGATGGTGAGCTTTCCACTTTGTAGACACAGCAAGTGTTTATTTTCGTCATTTCTTCTTATGATACCTGCTGCTCCTTTTCGCTGAAGCTTCATTTTCATCAAGCTTTGAGCATCATAAAACAATGTTTCACTAGGGACTAACTAACATACTTTGTAATGTATGTAAAGTGGCTCGTTCAACATTTTCTCCATTATAAACTTGCCTTGATCACTCGGTTATGCCAAACCAAGTTAGTCTTTCGGGACCATTTTAGTAGAGCGAACAAATAATTTTTGTTGTGAGAACCAGTATCTTTATTGGTCCTTTTGGTAACTCTCGTGTTGTATGAATTTCTCCCCTCTTTCTTGCAACTATACTCTTTAATCTAGGAGTGTGAGCAAAAGGGTGATTCTTTGTCTTTCAAGTTTCACCTGTGTGCCTACTTTCTGATGAAGGTATTTATGTTGGTCATTTCTTTTCTACGAGCTTTTATTTTACTGGTCATTGCTTCTGAAGTTTAAAATGCGTGTGTGGGTGCAGATTTCAGAAGCATACACTTGCCTGCTTTCTGGTAATTCTCATGTCTTATAAGCACATCTTCAACATGTGACAAGCTAAGAAGATTCATTTACTTGCTTGAAACCTTTACTGATGAAATGTCAAATTAACATGATTTTCAACTAAAGAAAGAACCTCCTTGCTCTTTCTGCTTACAATATTGTTTCCTTTCCCCACTCAGCTTGTCCCTTTTTAAAAAATCTTTTGTATAGAATGCTTTCATTATATATTCCTTTGATGCTAATAGTTCTGGGATGGAAAACACTAGATAAATACAACGTGTGCATTAAATTGTCTAGAGCCCTTTTGGACTACGTTTTATTTGTTCATCTACATTCTGTTTTATTTGTTCCTTATTGTCTTAGTTGGGTTCGTTTTGAATGTAAATTACAGGTGCAAGACAAGAAGGTGAACATGTAGGTAAGTTACTGTAGATTAGCTCTTTATTGTGTATGTGCATGTGTGCGCACATGTAACATGGGATCAACCCCTGATCTTATTAGAAAGACGTACCATGTTTTGTTACCAGTTGGATATTCGCGTGTTGTAAGAAGTGGTGTTCCTAGAGGAGGAGGAGGAGGGAGGAGAAACCATGCACTGATTGGGCTTCCCTTTCTTTTTATTATTTTGGGAACTGCAGCATTGGGAGGAATGAATGTTGCCAGGTATGTTGACTCTGAATTGTTACTTGCTTGAAGAAAAGTTTAATGAGATGATCTGAATAGATGTTTTTTTTTAATACCTTCCACATCAGGTCCTACAGAAAACAGAAGGCAGATTATCCTTCTCATAATCCTTTTCTCCCTTAATTATTCATAAAACATTTTGTGTATATATACGCAATGTATGAAGTTAGTCCTCCATGAAATACAACATTTATGTAATTTTGAAGTTGTTCATTATGTAAAATTAGACTATAGTTTAGGTCATGGAGGTCCACTTTTGACTCCATTAAAGCAATGATCCCCTTAATTGATGTTGTAATATTTTCTTGAACACAACTGTTGCACATTTGATAATTGAAATTCCTAGCCTCCCTTGTTCTAAATACATTTTCACTTCTACATTTTTAGTGCATCATAAAAATACTGATATTAGTTCATCATAAATAAGGTATGTAAGTGGCATTCTGACCCAAGTACATGGGAATGTTTATGCCTATTCCTTAGTTTATACCATTGTCTGTTATGCGCAATTACACGATCTTCAGTTGACGCTTTCTCAACTGAGCTATCCCACTTCATGAAACCTTATTGTTTGAATCCCATTTCACATAATCTATTGGAATAAAAGTAATGCTATAAAATAAGACAGTGGAAAATATAGGACAAGCTTAAGCTACCCTTTACTTCCTTTTATAATTCTTTACCATTTCCAGAGTATCATGAATTGTTACCTATGATCTTACAATATTTAATAAGTACATACTAGATAAATAATGACCATAAGTCTCAACAACATTATTTCTTTCTTAAATGTCATGCCAAAGCAATTGATCCTTCAAATTGCAGGTTCAATTGCCTTTATCCCATAACAATTTACATCATATCTCTCTAGAGGTGTTTATTTTAACATGTAAGAGATCTGAAAATAGAATTACAAGAATCCTTGATAGGATCATTTTGCTGAGATACTTCTGTCGTCGGCCCATACGAATAACATGATATCTGAACTCAATGAGAGAACAACAATAGCACCTGTTTGAAGTCCGGATTGATCTTTTTCTTGACTGGACACTTGTTCTACCTCAACAATTCATCCATAGTACATCATCAAATTCACCCCTCAACTTATCTCCTACTATAACGTTCTGTTCTTTGTCCAAAGCAGTCATAGGCATAGCCGATGGGTGCCATGCCGGAGTTCCATTCTCATATGCATTACATGTCAGTCGTCTCAACCCACTCCCATCCAACTTCACCAAATATAAGTCACCGTACGGTTGGTACTGGTTTGGCAGTGACACTGGTTCTGCTGTTACTCCACCCAAGTTGCCCGTGAACAGAAGCCACTCACAGTCCTTACTAAAGCATACATGGTTTAATCTCTCTTTATCTACTTCATCAGATCCCTCCAGCCCTGCCACGTGGATCCTACGAAGACCTGTGCCATTTGGATGAATGACATAAATGCTGAAGCAAGTGACATTATCTGGATTGTGCCTGTTGGAAGAAAATGCAATCAGCTTTCCGTCAGGTGACCAGCTTGGCATTGTATCAATCCATGGCCCCTCTGTTAGCTGACGAATTCCTCCACCCTCCAGCTCTCCCTTAACAGCATCCATAATATACAGATTTTTGTGACCCGAACGGCCTGAACGGAATACAATGTGCTTTCCGTCTGGCGAGCAGGAAGGGAAGGCATTATTTCCCGTCTCCTCTTTTGTGAGAACTTCTATTTCTACTGGAATTTCCCCGCAATCATCGTTAGTTAGATTTAATGAGTTGAATGAAACTCGGGCGATTTGAACTGTTGCTTTTACAGAGTCGAATACAGGTCCGACTGACGTAAAAATCACATCGGGTTCAGCTGGAGACCAGGAGTTACAGAAAGCCGTACGGCCTTTGAACAATGTCCACTTCTTGGAACCATCTGATTTGATGATTTTGAGGCCTGAATTAGCATTGAAATCATGATTAAACGCAATAAAGTCACCTGAGGGAGAGAAGGAAGGAAATGATCCATTAAGCCTCAGCATTCTCAGTCCTTTTTCTGGCGAAATTACCGGGTCCAAGGAAGGAATTGTTGTATCTCCTGATGATGATTCACCTTGGAACCGGTGATAACTGAGAAACGACGACTTAGGAGAGAAGAATGGATTGTAATGGTGAGTGGTAGGGTTAAGCAACTCGGTCACTGAATAGAACTTGTGAGACTCCACGTCAAAAATCTCAATGTGGCGATACCTCTTCCCCGGTCTTCTGGTAGCAATAGCAATCATTGATTTGGAATTGTATGAGGCTGCTGCAGGAGTAAAGCAGTGCACACCAGGAGGAGTAACTCGAATCGGATCAGCACGCAAATTGGGTGAATCCTCAGGCAAATCAACTCTAAAAATGCTCCACCAACCATCATCAGCTTGTCGGTGAAAATAGATGGTCGAATCATCAGACCAAGTTGGCCAGCCACCGTGTTGGCACACGACTATCCGCTTTTCGGGGTCGGATTCAGGGAAAACAACAATATCAGTAGTCAGGTCATGGAATTCACCAGTAGGCCAACGACGGTCTCCGTAAGATGCAACCGCAATCAGGTGCCCAGACTGTGAAATCGCTGGACTATAATCAGCACAGCAATACGGAGTTAAGCGGATGATCTTACTACCATCCTCTATATTGGTAGAGTAAAGAGCGGACGAGCTGGTGAAAACTTGTTTGGGTTGCTGATGAGCTGAAATATAGTAGAGTCGTTTATTTCGAAGAAACGGACGGTCGAGAAATAGGCTATCAATGGAAGTAGGAAGTTGTTCAATCTGTACCTGAGAGGAGGGGCGTCTCAAGTAAATGCGAGGAGCACCTGATCTCTCAGAGACGAATACGAGTGTTTGATCTTCATCAACGAACTGTCCGTTGTAATTGACAGAGGTACCGTCTGTGAGGCGATGCTCTACCGGAGAATTGAGGAAAGAAAATGGAGATTTGATGGAGAAGATGTCGAAGCCGTAATTGGTTCTGCCAACTGTGGAGAAGATAATAGAGCCATGTGGTGACGACTGTGAATCCATAATACTATCGTTGATGTGCTTTGCAGGCCGGAAATGGCAAATGTTATTATTATAGAGAAATCTGAGCTGCAATTGGAAACGGCGACGGATCACAGGTAGGTGGGGAGTCTTTACGTTAGGCATGACGTTTTGGTCTTTTGTTTTGTTTTGACGACAAATTTTGAAGTGGACACGTTACATTGAAGTGCCTTATCCTCAAAAGGAAGAAGACAAAATTATCTTGTCCGTTTGTGGGAGATGACATGTATCCTATGGAATGTTGTTTGTGGGAGGTGACATGTATTGTATGAAATTTGTTGTTGAGGTATGAGAGAGCTGACACAGTGACTACGGTTAAAAAAAAAAAAAAGTACGCAAACAACTTTGATAGCTAAGCTTTTGTTTTAGTAGGTGGATGCTCCTCCATAGTCCACAATGACACTTTAGCTTTTAGTTAAAGTTGTTGGACACTTGTTCACGTATTGATTCTAGTATTATCTAGTTTTTTTGGTTTTAGCACTACACTCATAATGGGTCTTCATTATGGTTAACAGTAAGTGGAATTAGATCTAGATATTAGAGCTTCTACACTCAACTAAAAAGGCAACTAAATTCGAGAAAACAACAATATATTATTCCATTTGTTTCAAAAAGAATGATTTACTTTTCTTTTTAGTCTTGTTTAAGAAAAGAACGACATTTTTTCATTTTTTAATAGTAAGTATTATTTTAATTTCAGCTTTTCACGTGGCATGTTTAAGGCCACAAGATTAAAGGACAATTTTGTACATTTGACGTAACTTTAATTTAAAACCAGAAGATTCAAAAGTCTTAAAATGTATTCAAATGAAAGGAGGTTAGCTTGTTTAACAGCAACCCTGAAAATGAGCAATGCTTTTGGGAATCTCATGGCAGCGAAAAGAGGCACCATTTGTGTAGAAAGTTTATTTGATATTTCGTGTAACTGAGGAAAACAATTACAATTTCATGTATACATACAACAACAACTACCTTGAATTCAGGCTTCTTCATTATAGTCTTCCTCACCTCAAGTATGCTTCTTCTCCATTGCAATCTCAACGCCACTGCCATAAGAAGGATGATACGATACGTTAGCAAAACAAAGGCGCATGCATTTGTGAGGGGCATGTTTGCCACATGCCATTTCCATGAGTGCTATATATCCACATAGAGTGAAGGGAACTCATTTGAACATCTTTCATTGAAAAATAAGTAAAATAGGTTATGTTTCGATACATAATAGTGAACACCACTGGTTTAAACCACGTGTGACCGTGTTATCCTATAGTACACCTATATAACCAAGAACTACATTCTTGAAGATATAGAGATTGAACATGACACTTTCTATAAACAACAGGAAGCTCAGTAATACGACCTAAGAAATGCCTGTGGAAACAATCTCGAGAATATTTGGTCTTTTGCTTTGATAAGCAGCGCGTATAGTCCATAACAGGGGATGTGAACCAGAGCCATGCCAAAATACCTGAAACCAACTTCCCATTTTAGGATATTCAAATCGTAAAGAAGTAGAGAAGGTGAACATAGATAGCATGTTATTACCACAATGGTGCCCATGGAGTGTTAAGTTCCAAGAAAGGATATGGCCACCTGCACAACAGGGCAATTCTTTAAACCATAGACGATATACATATGTCTTTTACACATGAAATGCGCGTATGATGGGTGTATCTATTTACCAAGATAAGCAGCAGACGTGTAGACTCCACTGGAAAACAATATAAGAACAGCTCCACAGTATAAAATATGTGATACCAAACCAAGTAAATTGCTGAAACACAAAACAGTTGTCTCATATTAGACTTACAGGATTTAACTACTTATAGCAAGCATTGTAAGGGACTCCGAAAAACTTATTGGAGTTAGGGATGGGAGAAACTGTTGCACTTACAGGATTGCTCAGGACTGAATCAAGAAGAAGAAATATAGCATTTACAGAGTGCATTAATCCAATTAGCTGCCATGACAACAAAAGTTCACAATTAGAACAACTAGATGAGTAGATAAACTGCAATTTGAATGATTAGAATAACTAGTAGAGTTCCTTTTGCTTTTCACTTTGTAAAGTTACATATCGAGCTAAGAAAGAAATGGATTCTTATTACACCATCACGGTTTCTCCCTCTCTTCACTGTTTAAGAGCAATAATCACAAGTTCTTCTATAAGATTTTAAAAGGGAGATCAGCTTGTTTCCTTACAATAATGTCAATTCTTAGCCAGT